TTAAAATTTCAAAGAGAAACACTTACCCGGAAAATTTACATTTTCTATGGCATTCTTATAGTTTCAGCAATTCATTTGTAGATGGCGCGTCAATCTCCCTTTACGTTAAAAACTTTTATTCGCTCCCTAATTTCAATACTCGATACATTACCTTGCAGAAAAAAACTATAAAAGCAAAAAAACGGAAATACTTGATGTGTTTTATTGTTTATTTGAGATAACTTACACATGGACTTACCTAAATATTCTTATAAATATTACATATGTTCTCACTATGTTTCTTAAGTAGGCGACAACTTATTATTTAAATATACTTACAAAGTTTTAACGCTAAATAAACAAAGGAAAGAATAATAATGCGGAAGTTAGACAACGGTCAATATTGAATTTCGTACTTTTCCTATTTCTTTTTTTTCCTTGATGAACAGACTATTACTGTACAACAACAAAAAAAAACTTAAAGTAGCACTTAACTTTTTAACACACTTCAACACCTAACTAATGAATTCATTTCTCAACAGCGTTATTTCTAATTGTAAGTAATACATAAACTTACTCTTTATCTGCTTAAGAAATAAATTTCGTAATGTCTTAAGTGTTGAAATATCAATATATAAACTAAAAATGAAATTTAATGTTTCATTTTGTACTGGGACCAATCGTGCTACTACAAAATTTACTATAACGTTTTCAACAGTTTTATAGACCGTCTAATAAATTTATTGTAACCTCGTAATCTGTCGGTATTAATAAACAAATATAAACAAAAATAGATTCGGAGCAACAACAAACATAAATACGAAATTCAACACTGGTGTTAATAAGTCCAAAAAGGAAAAGAAAACTTTACCAATCGACGGTTGACAAGTGTCCAAATAATGCCTTTATCTAACTCGATCTTCGGAGAGCACATGGTGAATGATGACTATCACACTCATTTTTCAATTTCAATTAAAGGCATTTCATTTATTACGAAAACGAAACACGAAAAGGAACGAAAAAAATAATAACAAGAATTTAACTGATTCCAGTAGTTTAAATAACTATCACAAATATTTGGCTTATCTTAATGCTAAGCTCACTTTTTCATGTTTTCTCATTTTTAAATGTAAGTATCATATATAATGTAATAATAATATAGTAGCAGTAGGTTTTTATATACACTAAAAAATATAATAATAATAATAATAATGAATCGTTATAATATTCAACAACGTTATAATAATACATATTATGTACGTTTATATTGTCATTAGTCAAACAATCATATATGAAAAAACGCGTGGCCTTTCTTTTGTATGCACCGTTACTAACCGGCGGGGTGGCAAGGGCGTTCTGATGATAATAGAATAATAAATCATTAAAAAAATGTATTTCAATTCATGCACACGGGTAACGATCACTACGCTGGAACGTACGTTATGATATACAACCCTGCTATTTATTATCAGCAAAAAGGAACTGTCGATAACTTACATAACGCAATTTGGGCATTGGGGGTTCAGCCGGGCTCTTATTTTCTCTTACGTGCAGGGAGAGGGGTAAGGATATACCTCATGTAATGATTTTAGAACCGCTACTACAGGCAAACATGTCATTTTTTATATGTACCTCCCTGACAATCTACCCAATAATTAACCAATTCAGGCAGGACAATTTGCAGAAGAATTCTGCTATCCTATAATTCAATTTCCCTTATTTGGTAATTTGAAAGTAAATTATTATTGGATATCGGTATAGGGAAAGGGTCAGACCACGCCTTACGGCCCTGTTATGCAGGAAGAGGTGGACTAAAATTGATAAATTCTGCATTATGTAAATTATGGACAGATCCAAACGTACCTTACTTCCGATAAAAAAAAGGAAACGAAATAGCGGCACAACCGCTACAAACGAACGAAAAACTTCAAAGCAAGGCTTATCCTTTTTTCTGTGTTGTGAATTCCTCAATAATAATAACAATACAGTAGTAATAATGTACTTTCTCTTACATTTTCTCATTGCTAGCTCTAGGTAGTAGGTAAGGTATGTAGCAGGTAATAAGAGACAGTACATATTATAGTAATAATAGTATTATTATGATGATAATAATAATAATAATAATACGCCTTACTTATTAATATATGTAATATATGCACAACCGTTTTAGAGCATGTCCCGCTAAGTTTTCGATATTTACAAAAAAACTAAATTGACGATACTATATTGCTCTGTTATTTCTTTTTCCTCACTTCCTTTATATTATTTATTTTCCCCTTTTCTACAGGTCTTACTATACAAAGGTAAATGGTCACAAGCACCTGTTTGAATCTTTAAATCCCAAACAAAATAAGGAAGATACTGTTTTTAAATACAGAATGAAGATTGTCTCTAGATAGGTAGGTGGGTATTTCGATAAATGGAAAAAGGAGTCACAATAAGATACTTAAAACGTAAATTTCAATTAATTACTCGATGTGTGAAAAATAATTTTAAGATTACCACATTCAAATATGTTCAGAAATAGTTTATCAAAAATTCATCAGAGACAATATATTTTTTAATATAACTAAATTTAAACTGTCAATGACGCAACTTTGGTAGCTTTACACTCTTGGCGAATTTTTGACAAAAATTTCTTGTAAAAATAACAAGAAAATGCTTTTCAGAATTTAGCAATAATTNATATATAGTTATATATATAACGTTACCATAAATATTTTTTCTTTGGGAACTTATAAAATACAAAACTATGACGCCTGGAAAAAACATTTTGTAAAACACACACTTTCTCCTCGATATTTAGGCGTTGTTGTGTATTGAAATAATAAATTCAACGATAAATAGTGTTGTTTTTTTTTGTGTTTTTTTTAATATTACATTATGGTTTTCGTTTTTCTCTGCGATGCCGTTAAAATTTTTCATCATTTTCAACAACATAGCAAAACAACATCTCAAAGGTCACAGCCTAAAATTTATAATAATAAGAGTTATGACATATACGACGTGTATTTTAAATATTACACTTATTATTCAAAGATATTGGCGACATCAAAATTCAGAGAGCACTTAATAATTAAAAAACGAAACAAACAATAAAGTACCACGGGATGATAATAATAAAGCATAGTATTTTAATAATACAAAATACGGAAGCCTATAATTTTCGATTTTCTCTTCTTTAATAATTTAAATGGCAGCTTAAGAAATATCTCACTTTCTAACGCATTCCATCCACCGTTTCGCAGAAAAAATTTCGACCTTTCAAAAATTTCCCAAAACGAATTGTACAAAAAAAAATACTCTTGTTTGTACTGTTTACTGACGGATACCGCGCGCCATCATACTATTACTAGCACGTCCTATCGCATTTGATCTAATATTTGGAAATTATCGATAAAAAGGGGTTACAAAAGAAAAGAAAAAGATCATTAACATAGATTGAAATCCAAACTAAAGAAACTATTAAATATTACTATTATTTATATAAAAAGATAAAAACTAAGGACATGGCGTTTGTGAAAATTCAACTCTATACATTATTGTTTTCATTTAAACGACCACAGCATCACGAGCTTTCCAGGGGAATTCCAAGAAAGCACTTTTCAAAAACCTTTTTCGTATGTTACTACTGCATTCGAAAATGAGACGTGCCAACTTTTAGCCCCATGTGTAGTTTATCAATTCGTAGTTCACATGCCTCTGTTTCTATTTTAATTATCGCCCAAATGAAAACATCTTTTCGGTAACTACTTTTATAAAAAGGATGTAAATAATTTTTCATTCCTTTTCCTAAATTCTCTCAAAAGCCTCTCGAAAAGCACACATTTTCAGTAGATAAATGGCAACAAAAAAAAATCTATCAACCCTTTCTATCATTCCTGTCAATCAGTCACATAATAATAATAATAATAATACGCCTTACTTATTAATATATGTAATATATGCACAACCGTTTTAGAGCATGTCCCGCTAAGTTTTCGATATTTACAAAAAAACTAAATTGACGATACTATATTGCTCTGTTATTTCTTTTTCCTCACTTCCTTTATATTATTTATTTTCCCCTTTTCTACAGGTCTTACTATACAAAGGTAAATGGTCACAAGCACCTGTTTGAATCTTTAAATCCCAAACAAAATAAGGAAGATACTGTTTTTAAATACAGAATGAAGATTGTCTCTAGATAGGTAGGTGGGTATTTCGATAAATGGAAAAAGGAGTCACAATAAGATACTTAAAACGTAAATTTCAATTAATTACTCGATGTGTGAAAAATAATTTTAAGATTACCACATTCAAATATGTTCAGAAATAGTTTATCAAAAATTCATCAGAGACAATATATTTTTTAATATAACTAAATTTAAACTGTCAATGACGCAACTTTGGTAGCTTTACACTCTTGGCGAATTTTTGACAAAAATTTCTTGTAAAAATAACAAGAAAATGCTTTTCAGAATTTAGCAATAATTTTCATCTGCACAACTCATAAATTTAAAATGATAAGTAACGCAACGGTACATGCAAATTAATGTTTCTAAGACCTGGTATTATTACCCGTACCTATTGTATTTATCGGAAAAATCGTAGGGTAACTGATTTTCCAAACTTTACTAAAAAACTTTTTTCAAACAGGTGCGTGCTTGCCATTTTATTAATAAAAATACTCTCGCTTATTCTATAAATATTTTTCTCGTACGTCTCCTTACAAATAAATACTGCGCTTTTTCTTTTAATATTAGTGACCTTAAATGGCTACAGTTTTTTTTTTATCTTTAAATACACTTTTGGTTTTAATGTCTTTTTTAATTTTGGTTGGGAGGTTTAATTTACTAGGATTTTTTATATTTCAATATTATATTTGGAATTTGTTTGTATTTTTACCATTAGCTCTGGTTTGGTTTGTTACTAGATTGGCTGAGACCAATCGTACTCCTTTCGATTTTGCTGAGGGGGANCGGGTAAGTATTTCTAATATTTTAATCCTCGGCTCTCGCTTGTAGATAAGATACAATAGATTTGTTCTTTACTTTATTATATTAACTTTTTTCTTTTTCGAAATATATGTATGCTATATTCATAGTCGTTACAAGAATTTGTCACAGTCTTTAGTTTAAATTATAAAAAAAAGGGATGAAAATGAAAACAGTATTGGGGTGACCGATTCGCGTTTTATATATTTTTTTTTGGTAGGAAAAGGGCTCGAAAAGCGATTTACTTTTTGATGGTCACGTCGTCAATTCATCGGCAACTTTTTTTTTGACGATTTAAGGTTCTTCTCTTTGTCAACCTTTTATGTATGTCTATATGATAATAAGTTAAACTGATTTAAATTGAAATTCTTCAAGTCCAAAAATAAAAATACGACTGATTGCATTTCAATGTGTTAATTGTTTAAGATTTTCCAATGTAGCAAGCAGCAATAGGGTCTATTTTAATTAAAACATTTGGGTATCTCAAGATGGCGAACAAGCAGGAAGTTAATACAACGGTAAGAAGGTTTACAGTGTATTTCTTCTTCCTCATTGTCCACTCACCCGAGTATTAAACCCAAACATTGTAGTCGTTACGTTTCGTTTTGGAAATAAATTTATAACTACAAAGAAAGAGTAATATCAAAAAAATGATTTTAACTGCCGAAAAATATTATTTGTGAGATAGTACCTTTTATAATCGTCAAAAAAGTTGCAAAAGAAATGACGAAACGCCAATTGACACCACGGTAACCCTATCAGCGATACATCTGTCGCAGTATCACCATCTCTGATAATCGTCGTCACTATCACACACAGACACCTACACTATAAGAAAATATTAAAGACTACCGCTACCTGACGAAGACTTCGTGTCACACGTGCAGACGCCATCACAACTTGAGGTTGTCGAGCTTCTTGCATACATCGGTTACTTCCGGTCCTCCGGCGGCGCCTCCTCCAGCTGCTGTCGCTGGCAGAGGGGCGTCACCCGCACCAATTTCGTTTAAAGCCGCTGCGCCTCCTCCAGCGGCACTTCCCGAGCCCCCGTGCACTGAGCGGCGCACCGAACGGCGCGGACGGCGCATTATCGGTCCAAAATGCTGCGAAGCGGACGAGGTCGTTACTGAAGACGACGACGGCGGCATCTGGGAAGAAGAAGATGGGGAGGACAATGGCGACGTTGAAGTGGGCGGCGTCGTCGTTACGTCGACGTCACCAACAACAACGCATTCGACGACGCTGCTACTACTAATACTATTACTACGACTACTACTACTGTCGCCGCTGCCCAGGGACGTCGTTGCAGTGGTCGTGGTGGTAGAGTTGGTTGTTGTTGTTACTGATGGCGTCGTAACGACCGAGATCGAATTTGTACTACTGACGTCTGTTAGTTCGACAGTAGCGATGGCACTGTTGGCAGCAGCGGTACCGTTTGACGTCTGCTGTTTGGTGGTGGTAGTATGGGAGTCTTTTCGACTGTTATTGTTACTATAATGATTGTAATGATATTGGTGTTGATGTTGGTACGACTGAACCATAACCTGTTGCTGTTGCTGTTGCTGTTGTTGTTGCCTATTGCCACCACCGTACCGAGGTGCGTGTGTTTGGTGTTGTTGAGTTGTCGAGACGTTGGGCGTCGAATAGCGCCTGTTGTGATACCGTCCGCCAGCGTAGCCGTTTGAGTAGTTACCGCCACTGTTGCTATTACGGGGTCCCAAATTCCTACTGTTGCCGCTAGTATTGACGCCGATGTTGTTGTTGTGAAAGTTTCGCGAGTAATATCGTCCGCTACCGGTAGCGGACGACGCTGCTAACGCGGCGTTTGTCGTCGCGGCGGCTGTCGTGGTGGCAGTGCTCGCGATAACGGCATGCACTATCGGCGAATAGGGCGCAGGAGGCGGCGTGTCCACGTTAGTCCTTTTACCTCTCGTTGTACTGTTACCACTGACGACTATCTCTTCGTCAGCCACACTTGTAGCAGACGAGTTCGACTCCGTCCTCTGCTGTTGACTAGCATTGTTATTATTATTACTATTAATGATATTATTATTATTATTATTTTCGAAGGCGCTGTTTCTTCTATCTTTGTTGTTGTTGTTATTTTTGTACCGCTTCTGAGCCCAAGTGAATGTACTACCGCCGCTTTTGCTGTTATTATTACTGGTGTTTGTTTCGTTATACAAACCACCGTTCATGGTTCTTCCTCCATTTCCAGCTTGGTAGGTTCGTGATGACAAGTAAGAGTGATCGGCGACAGACGCGGACGGCTGCTGAGGCTGAACGAACGACACGGGTCCGTTGAACATGTTAGGTGGCAGTGGTGGTGGTGGTTGCAGGTGGTGATGGTGCGTCGCGTGCACGTGCGGGTGATAACCGTAACCGTTGGGCGGATGACCGAACGGCGGCATATGAGAATGATGATGATTGAGGTATGGCGGTGGAGCTTGGTGAGGAGGCATGGCGGCACCTCCACCCGTCGATTTACGGCGCCTGCCACCTTGCAACGACGTAAAGTCCTTTTCCTGGTGCTGATCGAGAGAGAGGAGCGAGACAACGGGAGTGGTCGTTTGACGTGTGGTGTCTACTGACGCGGTCGTCGACGTGACTATAGGAGTAGGATGGTCGTGTTGCGATTGTTCTTGGAGCGCGATTATTGAGGTGGGCGCTGAAGAGGACGGAGGCGCAACGGGCGCTCCGCCTCCGTCTAATTCCGGACCTGGCGGACTGCCATTGTATACGCCGTCCTGGGCAAATTTAACACAATTAAAATATTAAAATAAATAACTAAACCTACATATTATTTCCTAATCTAATCATAAAAAACAACCGGAAAAATGTATACGATATAGAACACTAATAATAACGAGTATCAACTGTAAAAGAAGAAGTCGAGAATAATTGTGTTGGTAACTTACGTCGATGATGTTCCCGTTGGCCGTTTCAACGGTGTCTTGGTACATGGCCGCGGCGGCGGCTGCCGCTGCGGCTGCAGACCCTTCGATGGTCCCGTATAGGGGCATACTATAATACATTGCGTCGGTGTTGAAGGAAAGCTGCTGCTGGGTGTAACAGTGGGGTCGGGGCGGGCTGCCAGGTGGTTGCATGGGGGGACCCTGGGGCTGAGGACCGCCCTGACTCCCCACAACGTACTGGGGTCCATTGTTCGCGTAATAGTTGAAGTCGTACTGAAATAAAAAGCAGAAAAACAAAGCATTAACTAGAAAAATTTCTTAAGGAAACGATTCCTAATTTTATATATTGATAAAATAAGAGAAGTTTAAAATTCTGCAAACAAAACGACAAAAAGTTTGTAGGTACTCACTATAACAAATAACACTTTTTCCAGTTCTCTTACTTTGTATCGCTTCATTTGCCATTAGTATTAGAGAATAGATTTTTGTAGATAAATTTAAATATACGCAATGACAACGATGACGATGCAAAACCAAAAACCCATTCGCAGGAATGTGAGAAGGGAAAACCATGCAAAAAACACAAGTCCAAAAGATGCATGAGATTATTGTGTGAAAAATAACATAACAGGCAATAATAGCAAACCATAAAAGGATCGACGAGATTAGTAACGAAAAAAATTAAAGGTATTGCCATTTTATAAAAGAAATGCGCAGCAAAAACAGTCCAATAAAACGTATGTCCCATGAAACTTATGCGAGGGGTAGTTGCGAAACAAAAATTGCCCAAAAACGGGAAAATTGTGCACTACGGCATACATAGAAATTGCTTCTATTTTTTCCTTTTCTTTTAACGATGAATGTGTAATAATAAAATGGAACGAAAAAATTAAAGCGAATTAATCAAAAATAACAATTAATTAATCATATAAATTAAAAAAAAAAAACAGCGATGTAAATATACAGTATGAGAGAAATTTGACAGAGACAGAGACCTTAAAAAAGGGGCGCAAGAAGAATATTGTGGGGGGAGGAGCCCTCAGTACTGCAGGCCGTCCAGCAGCACGTAGGCAGGCTGGGTGACGGGGTAAAGGCCCTCTGCTATGTAGTTGCTGGACTGAACAAAAACCATCACAAAAATCGATCATTTTACACACAAATATCTCAACCACCAAAAAACAAACTATACAAATATTATTGCATCGTTTAAAGTGCTACTTAAACAGGACAGTTCATAAAAACTGGGACAACTCCAGGTCCTGCAGTTCAAAAATAAGGGATACACGACTAAAAGATTAAGAAATTACTAAACATTCTTTGATATCTAAAAATTTATAGCAATTTTAAAATTTTCGACATGTGGTTGTAACATATGTCTCATTTTGAAGTAGAAAAAGATGGTTACACTTCCTACATCCCATTTATGAATCATCCTGTGTAATTCTTATGGTACTAAAATATATAATTCTATTTCATTTTCTTTAATTTACAATTACCTAACATTCTCCTATTTAATCGATTATATACTCGGGGAATTCAAAAAAAAAAAAAACCGAAACACTGAAAGAATAAACCACTTATTGTGATAAAAAATAAAATTTACGAAAGAAAAGTAGTTTTTCCAAACTACCTACATCCCACTGTAAAACAGGAACTATAAATAACAAAATAAGGCTAAACACAATGGAATAATTACTTTGTAATATTAAGAGAATGCTGAAAGCAAAAAACCGATACCTCAATATTCATTTGAATGTACATTACAATACATTGTAATGAAAACGTCAAAGCCAACGAGCACATATACTTCTCATGAATTAATTATAAGAAAAAAAAATCAACAGAAAGCTTAATTGATTAAAAGATAAATAAATGAAAATGCCTTTACAAAAAGCGTTCCTTTCATGGGGGAGAGAGGTGTTGTTAGTATGTAATTTCGACAGTGGGATGCACGAACAAATACAGCCATAAAAAATACACGATCATCAATATTATCACCAGGTTAAGTCGAATAAAACAAGAAACAACTGACCGGTACAGGTTGATAGGGATATTGCTGCGGCATGTAGACGGGAGGGGCCGGAAACATAACTGAGGGGTAAGTCGCGGTCTGAGGGGGCCCCGTCTGAGCCGGGTACACGGTCGGAGCTGAAAAAAACAAACGTTACCAATCCAAAAATTCCAAAACACAATTAGATAAAATAAGAAAATATTTACGCTGGTACACAGGAGCCTGTTGTGCGTTCGGATCGTTAGGGGGCGCCGGGGGTTGTGGATAATAGGCCACACCACCCTGGTAAAATGGCATACTGTTAGCCGGTATAAAGTACTGTGCGGGACCGCCAGGGGTCACCACCGGCGGACTCGAAGCATCGAATGCTCGACTGAATGGCTTAAAAAAAAAAAATATATTCGTCTTTAAGATAGTCAAACAAAAATTTAACTAAACAAGTTAAATATCTCTACCTGCTTTTTGATTGCAGGCGCAATATTGAGTTTGCGCTCTCGCAAAACAATGTTGTCTGCCTCGCGCTGGAGCCTCTTGGCCTCCTCCTCGCTCTCGAACGTTATGAAACCGTAGCCCTTCGAGACACCAGCCCGGTCCTGTATTATTTTGGCCGCTTTTACAGTACCGTAGGCGCTGAAGAGCTGCAACAACTCGGCCTCGGTCGTGTTCGAGGATATACCACCCACGAACACCCTGTTAGGAACAAGCGTACCTTTTGGACAAACAAAATATTTAATTAATAATCATCAACAATAAAATTCAATAAAAAAACCAATACCCTGAACATTTTGCTTTGATAACCGTACCAAATAACGATATTAAATGCAGTTTTATCACAATCTAATCGCATAACACAACGCCTTCATAACAAGATTCGACAAATGTATCAATCAATGTACTGTATGAACAATGTTTGGACAGTCCATAACATATAAACATAAAAAGAAACAAACCCCTGTAGTGTTTGACTAAATATGTATACATATTACAATGTTATCTTTGTTTATATTTCTTGATGCAATATATAAAAAAAGCAGTCAGTCAGTATTATAATTATTAATTATAAAAAAGATAATAAATACAGGATGTTTGGTTTTAACTAAGGTTTAATTCCTTGATGTTTCGCATTTCCTTGATATGCAGTGGTGTCGTACTTTAACACCACAGGCACCACACCAAAGCGGATTGTTTTGTCTACAATATACAATTTAACGATCCGCGAAGACCTTAAAAAAATCATTTCAAATACTGTTGTAACACGAACGGCATGACACGTAGGTGGATGCCTATGTATACTACACACATAAAAATATGCAATTTTTAAAACATTTAAAGCAGTTTTGGAGTAATAAGACCGATTTCCGAGGAGAGAGCGTGGTATTGCAAGGCTAAAACTGATTTAGCGAAACAAAAATATTGAACTTATGCACGTAACGCCACGCATTAAAAGACAATACCTACTGTGCTGAAACTAACTTATATTTAAGGGGATTTACAACAAGTATAGGATTGAATTCTTCTTTGGCAAAAGGCTCACGAGTGACTTTGAGTAGAGCAAAGAAATAGGTACCATACTTCTGAAATGTTGCGACAAAAAATAGGAGCAACTCTCAAAAACTATTAAAATATTTAATTTGAAAAGAAGTCTGTCAATTTAGTCTACATAATTCATAATGTAATACATATACAACGAATAATATTGAAATAATCGTTTAGCACACCAAGAAAACTTTATATCTTGTTTGTTGTACCTGTGTGTGAAGAATATAAAAGCATAAAAGCTGATGCAGCAGTACGACGGTCACATACAATCGCGAACAACCCTACCATACACAAAAGTCCCACACAAATGTGCCCGTACGTGACAACATAAACATGTAAACATAAGATACGCGATATGACGGTAACTCAAACGCAAGAAACAGCAAAAAGTATGTGATAACGTTCCTGGAACGTATCAAGACCCATAATAATAAATAATCATCTGCACTAATGAAATAGAAACAAAAAAATATTTAAAGTACTTAGTTTTTCAATAACGTAAAATAAAATAAAATTACTTTTCATCCCACATACAAAAAAAAACGAATAATGTCTTATTATGTAAAGTGTAAACTAACTATATAAATTCAAATATCAGACCCTACCCTAGGTCATAATAGACAACTACGTTATCGTTCTAAACTACATTTTTTGTAATTTCCTGTTCTACAGGAAGTCTTATTTTGCATTTTAAGCACAAATGAATGTGAACACTATCCATTAACAGCTTAGAATCTATTCACCACTAATAACTTTACTTCGAAAGTAAGAACACACAAGAGTATACAAACTAAAACAAAAAACATCTACCTATCGAAAGTGATAAGATATATAACAGTTTTACTGAGGCAACTGATATTGATACAATCGACATATGCATCTGCATTTAGAAATGAAAATGTAATTTGCTAGATTACGATATAATAAATTCAATGGCATTTTCAATGCAGACCCTTTAGAATAAAAAGTCATAAACGTTTTAAGTTGCACACTGAAACCATACTTTCTTTTTCGATTCCTCATTCAACCTGGCTTGTTCTTTGTTGTAAATTATACCATCTATTTTAATTAGGGAAAGTACTGGCTTTATCAACTGTAATGGTCCCACAAGGCAAAGAAAAACTTCATATCGAACTTCATTGTAAGCGCCTGTAGAGTAAAATGCGTGCAGTGAAAGATAAAACAAAGTTAACATCAATTTTTCATACAGCTGTTGGTTGATATCTAGTTGAAAAAGGAACTTGTGACTCAACCATGAGAAAAATGAGATAATAATTAGATTAAACTAATTTAAGCAGAATAAATATACAGCCAAGGTCTTCCTTTGTCCTTCATTACCTGTGACTCTTAATATTTTAATTTAAGATAGAAGATGACTAAATATTCAAATAAATTGGAAAAAAATATGGCCTTTGACTTATTTTTAATTATAAATAAGAAATAAATCAAGTGTACTTTTTCCATTTTCTAAATATTAAAGTGCAAAACCACAAAAACAATAAGCAGTTTTGTTACATTTCATTTAAGACAAAACCTACAGTATTACTCACCACCCACTCTACCTGCAAGTTCAAGTTTAATAGTGTTACGTATAATAAACTAAGAACATTCAATTATTCAAAGGTACACACAATACTTTAGATAACAAATATCAAAGGGCATGACCACATTACACCAGTTATTGTCTATTTCTACGTAATCACAAAACCTTCAACGGAAACTTGAAAGGTAGACTATAAATAAAAATAAAAAAATTTTTGAGTGCACTTAACAAAATCATTACAGGTGTAAATAGGTATGTCTTTTACAAATGGGGAATTATCTCACATTTTGTTTATGTCTGCATATATAACAAAGACTTTAAACAACCTGTCATCAACAAAATATTGGGAAAAAATCAGATTAAAGGACACGTCTTTATCATTTAAAAAGTAAAAGGAAAAATATAAACAAAAGAAAGGGGAATTACTCACCATATTTAGGAGCATTGCTTGGAGGTGTAATACTTTGTACAGGCGTGTGGCTGTTGGAAACATTAGTAACAGTTGCTATTGGGGTACTTGTAGGAGTATTTGATGTAGAGTTACTTCCGCTACCGTTAATTTTTTTGCAGTTGTTCTGATTTGTTGTCGACATTTTACTTAAGTACCGTTTTATCACAAAACACTTCCAAACTACCTGCAACAGACACCGTGAGTCTTAAGAAAAAACGATAAGCCGGAGAAGCATTGTAAGCAGTTGCACTAAGGTTACAAAGGGAATTTAATAGTTTCTCTGACAGGTTAATTGTAACATTTTGCACATACTACACTACTAACGAAGCAATCGCTGAAGGGAAAATAGTCTTATAAATGTAAAAAAGGTTTATAATTAGAAACTGTCAAGTGCCAGGAACCAGGAACTAGAAATACACAAACAATTTACAATAATCGAAATTACGGCCAACCTTCAAAAACAAAATAAACTAGATCCCTGGTACTTGACCTACTTTCGTGAGCTAGACAAATGTTTACAACAAAAAAAGCACCTAGTTTTACTGACCTATTGTCCATCTACAGTAAAATTGCATGAATATTTTGATCAAAACCATTCATAAAACACAATTAAACCATTAACTAAAATACGTTGCTAACGTAACCTAGCAATTACAATGCAATTTCATAATAGACAATATTTTTTACGTGTTAATTAGGGTTTATTAGAACTAGAATTAGTTTAAAAAAGTAAAATTATCAACATGCAGCTTTCAAAAATATTTTCATTCATTATAGAGAAATATTAATCTGATGTGACATGTTAACCACTGCAGTAAAAAGTTGCAGGTAAACGAGCAAACAGACGAAACATTTATTAAAATGACAACGATTACCTCTCTAGTAAAAGTAATTGTACTTCGGATGATGATAACAGTGTTCTTAAAAGATTCATTAGTTAATTATTAGAAAATAACACACAAAAACTAAAGACGTTTTCACTACAAACGGAACCATCGATAAAATGGCGTCAGCCAATCAGAACGCTTGTACGAAACTGAAATGCTAAAACCTAAAATGCGCCAAACTAACGAAGCGACACAACGGAAACTAAACGTACAAAAAACTATGGAACGTTTTTATCTCAATTTTTTTTGCTACAGAAAATTTTCATAACAAGATGAACAGAAGACCTTATTGCCAAATTTGACAAGCATCAATACTGCAAAAATGCTGTAAAAATAATAAGTTAACTCACCTAAGTAAATTCACTTTTTTATTAACTGATTAGGCATATGTATGTTTTTCTGTTACTTAAAAGTTTACCTGACTAAAAATACTAGTAATAGTACTAGCACTTTTCTAAATTACATAAAAAGTAACACACAATAAATTAACTGTAACTCTAAAAAACAATAGATAAGTCCTTTGTTTCCATGGATAATGATGATTAAAATTTTTAAAAAGGCTTAAGAAAAAGTATTTGGTCCAAATTATATAAAAAAATTAGAAAGTACTCTCCAAAATGAAAATAATAAATAAAAACATTTATTTATGAATTTCATTTTGTAGAATATTAAAAAACGTAATTAAAGTAAAAGTTGTTAAGGTATATACTAAAAAAACAAAAAGGAAAAGCAAAGCTATTACAAATTGTACACCCCAATTAAAGAAACAATGTCTTTTGATTCCCAAAATTTAAGATATTCGTGTCCTAATAATTCACATAGCAAAACAACAGAAACCAAATTTAAAAATGTAAAAGTTAATTTATTAATTATAGTACTGTATAAACTGGAGTACAAAGGAAATGCAACAACTAGTACCACTAAAAAAATCTTTATAACGATACAATTCACTTAATTTAAAATTCCAATGCACATCTTACATCTTAAAAAAAAACAAACACCTATTAAAAAAGTGTACACATTAAAAAAATATGCTTATGGCTGCATGCCAATAGTTAAGCACTTACCTGCATTTATTATATTTTTTTAACGTAATTACTTCAAGCATCCTCACTATGCTTGAAAGATTTGGAGATAATTAATTAATCGATCAAAATACATCACAGAAGGACAAAACGTATTTACGTACAAAAGAAAATATATTTAAGAGATAAACATGAATAAAAAAGGAACTATATTAAAATTTGAGGCGTTTTAAATTCTTTTTGCTCTGTCTTGAGCAGGCAACATTTTTAACTTTAGGAGGACTCGAAGGTTCCACGGTTTCAACGATCTTTGGAGTATTGGACTCCACTACCGAGAGCAGCGACGACCGCCTAGACCTCCTCAAAGATGAGCTTGAATTCCTATTACAATCTTTCAAAATATTAGACTTATCTTTTCCCGTGAGTGCGGTTGAGGTATTCCTTCGGACAGCTGGGGATCCCAAGTCATTCTCTGACATGTACCCTGATGAATCATATTTGCTAGTATTTAGATGAAGTGGTCCAGGAGACGAGTCCATGAAGAATGACGGCATGGTATCTGTATTTACGTTGGTGGTGGCTGTTGCATTGGAAATGTCCAAAAGCCTCTGACGCACAGCCGGAGCCTCTAAAACGAGTTCTGATTTCTGGCATTTATCGTAAAAGTCCTCGGGGCCCGTCGCCGAAAAACTGGAGCAGTTGCGACACCAAATGTACTGGCAAAGAACATTCTGACATTGACCAATGTTCTTTTCCACAACTGCGAGATGAAAGCAACGGGGGCATTTTAAGAGACTCTGAGACGATTTCAAGGTCGACACCAACTAAAAAAATATATTTTAGAATTCAAAGTATTTGCATTAACATCATTACTAAAAAACAAGTTATTAACTTTCACTTACTTTGGTGCATTTTTGAAAGTTTTCCCTTTC